GATAAAAACATTGTGATGTATCACATTTCCTACTAACTGAAGCAATATATACAAGCAATGGCTACAGCTTAATAACTAATGGCTAACAGAGGGGAAAGTGTGTGCCTAAGCACTGTAGATCAACTCTGTTTCTCACTGTCAGACAGTGATTCATTAACCACTTACAGTGTTGTGTGTCTCAGTGAGTTCAGTGTCAGATTCTATCTGATAATTATCTCTCAGCGAAGGATAAGGTGCTGCAACTTAGAAACTGCAGATGCTACAGTATCCCCACAGCCTCAACACTGAAGAACTTTAGTTTTAAAGGGTTTTCAAGACATAGTTTTACGTTTAAAGAACTTCAGCCCCTTAAAAAGCTTTCTGCTCATTACTGTAATTATTTGCCTTTTAAGTAATCTATTTGACTGAAATGCATTTCTATATAATCTAAAGCTCAGTTACCTCATTTTTTTGGGAAGAGTAAGTTAACTTCTAGTCATAAAGAGAAACCACTCAGGGAAGCCACTGTATTTTTTAAATTTCCTATCACAACTGGACAATCAACTGCAAAAATTCACACACACGCAGATCTAGTGCTCTACTGGTCAAAACTGCTCACACAAAATGTATTATTATGATTATGATGGAGCTGGCAGAAGTCAGTTTGCAGATATAAAGAATTCGCCTTATGACAAACTGATGTAAGAATCTTTTTTTATACTGTACCATGTTTACAAGCATTAAACACATTTTTCAGATAACCAGAAAACTCAGTTAACTATGCAGTTCTGAAAAGCTGCAAAATGTTAAAATGTAATCTTCATTTATAGGACCTATATTCTATAATAAGAACATTCAAAATGTTTTTTTAAAGGAAATACATCCACAAGGACTGAAAGCAAACACAAGCACAAGCATAAGAAAATATAAGAGAAATATGTGAAATATTCAAGAGCTCTTATTGCTGTCTAGAATAATTTGAAATCTTTTCATTTCCAAAAAAGCCGCCTTTGAGACCTACACAACCTGTCTTCCACAAAGGCAGGAAAATGTCTTATTTCTTTGTTTTGAAGTTCTGAGATTCAGAAATTTGCCCCACAGCAGAACTGCGATGCCTTCTCTGCAAGGTCTCTCCACTTTCCAAGCTCCTTGAACTCAGCAAGAGTACTGTCCCAGGCTCTGTCCAGAATTGTAATTCTCCCACTCCTACATACGTGCCATTGTCCAAAAGTGACATATCCCAGTGCCATTAATTGTGGACATTATGTTGAATGCAAGGCTCCCTGAAAATTTAGGAGAAAATCCAACTGTTGATCCCAGCTAGAGCAGACCCACTGAACCAGTGGGATTTACAAAAGTACTAAGGCAATCATTCAATGCCTTTACTACAATTGAAATGAATGGTGGGATTTAGTCTATTTCCAGGTCCATATTTAAAAAAGTCAAGGAACCATGGGGAATTTATGTTACTGGGTGTCCTAACACTTGAGATGCTGCTGTTATAGAATCCTAGCTGTGAGGAAGAGAGGGGAAGTGAGGAGGTGCTAGGTTTTTTATCTGACCTGATGAAGAAACTCTGGAGAAATAATGCTTATTTATAGAAATCATTAAGTGTTATGAGCAGTAAAAGGTTGTATTCTGACATAGGTAATTACAATCTTTCTAACATGATCACGCCACTATCCCTAAATATATAGGGAGATAGCCATATTCTGACTATTGTGAACAAAACTAAGAGCTACACCAATAAATATGGTTGGATTTGCTCTGCTTATAAACTGGATGAATTTGAAGTATTTTTTTTCTAGCCTATATGACATGAATTGCCAGCCAAATAAACCTCATTAGTCTTTAAGGTGGCACTGGACTATTATTCATTTTAATCCAATTCATGTTAATGATATTACCACTGATCATTTTGTGCTTTTCTCTATTTGTTTTTTTTGGCATCTTACATTGTGTTGTGCAATACTGCTTTGAATTTTACAGTCTAGAATAAATGCCAAAGTTTTTTTTTTAAAAAGCTTAATCATAATGCTTTGATACCAGGACATAATTTTCTCATATTGTCAACACTTCCATTTTCAGAAGTCTTAGAACAGTTTTAAAATAGCAATGAACATAAGGAAGCAATACATGCAATCAAACCTGATAAAAGGATGGCAGTTATAATTTTTTTTAAAATATGATATTCACGGCATAAACCTTGGAATTAAATGAATAGCTGCTCCTTAACAAATATTTTTCCACATACGTATAGTTTATCACATAGTTTAAACAGCTTTGCTTTTTGTTACAGTACTAGAAAGGCCTCTTATGACACAATAGTCTGAAAGAATCAGGGATTGCTTAAAACTATATTCTGTTAAAAGTACAATCTTCCTAATAGTTTAAGTGGGTATTTTTACCTTTTTGAAAGAACGGTGCCAAAGCAGATATGTAATTTTTGTCTGGGCAGAATTTGATTTATAGGAATAGGAGTTGGGATTGCCATTCATACTTGCTAAATTCCTTGTCAATTTAGGCTGTTTCCTCTTTCAACTTCAATGAGACACCTCAATGAGGGTTTTTAAAGCACTGACAGATTTCTTATCTCTAGTCAAAAAGAAGAGCTCCTTTTCCCATCTCAAGGTCTCTGCAATTTGTGCAAAATGTCTCTGGTATCCCTTCCATGCGAGAAACAAAGCCCAAACATAGAACAAACACAAAAGAACTGCCCGATTGTTAAGAGATATAGCAAAAATAGAGATGGGGACAATTCACCATTTTGGCGAGTCGTCTCACGTCATGAGATGTCAAAAGCTCACAAAGCATGAAGTTGCCCCCATGAAGCAATGAATAACAAAGTTATTTGTCAGTTTGGGGGGGGGTATTAAAAAAGGCAGGCTAAGGGAATCCAGGCTGCTCTTTGTAAAGATGGCAGCTGCAGCCTCTTTACCCTAAATGAAGCTGCAGCCACCGTCTTTGCAAAGGGCAGCCAGTTTCCCTTTTTACATGCTGCGGCTGTGGAGGCCTGATTGAGACCTCAGCAGTGGCAGTGACAATTACAGTAAGGGGGTGTCGGCGGCATGGGGGGGCTAAGGTAGAGAGAGGAAGGGGCAGAGGATAGGCTGTGGAGTGGATAGCTGTGTGGTGGGGGGGGCTGCCTATCGGCCTGCCGATTAACTGATTGGCGGGCCAGTAGGCAGAATGGAAAAGCCATAGGATGGCTTCTTGTGACTGCGTGGCCGGTAGGCAATTTTAAAAAATTTATTTACCGTATTTATTTATTTATTTTATTTATATCCCGCCTATCTAGCCAACTTAGGACCACTCTAGGCGGCTAACAATCATCAAATAATAAAAATATACATATGTAAAACAGCATAAATAAATTAAATTATGAAGGATGAATAAAATGGGGAAATATCAAGCCGTTTTTGTCAGGACTTAAAATTTGATGAATACGGATCAACTAATATTTAATGAAGCAGGTATTCATCATCTCCTGGCAAATAAAAGGGGAAAATATGGAGGCAGTGACAGATTTTACTTTCTTGGGCTCCATGATCACTGTGGATAGGGACAGCAGCCATGAAATTAAAATATGTCTGCTTCTTGGGAGGAAAGCCATGACAAACCTCAACAGCATCTTAAAAAGCAGAGACATCACATTGCCATCAAAGGTCTGCATAGTCAAAGCTATGGCTTTTCCAGTAGCGATGTATGGAAGTGTGAGCTGGAACATAAACAAGGCTGACCGCCGAAGAATTGATGCTTTTGAATTGTGGTGCTGGAGGAGACAAACCTATCCATTCTGAAGGAAATCAAACCTGAGTGCTCACTGGAAGGACAGATCCTGAAGCTGAGGCTCCAATACTTTGGCCATCTCATGAAAAGAGAAGACTCCCTGGAAAACACCCTGATGTTGGGAAAGTGTGAAGGCAAGAGAAGAAGGGGACGACAGAGGATGAGATGGATGGACAGTGTCATTGAAGCGACCAACATGAATTTGACTAAACTCGGGGAGGCAGTGGAAGACCGGAGGACCTGGTATGCTCTGGTCCATGGAGTCATGAAGAGTCAGACATGACTTAAATGACTAAACAACAAATGAGCAACTGTGAGCAACCTGAAGCCCTAAGAGCACACGTAGCTGGCCACATTACTTCATGCACTCTTCAGTCTAATATCTCGGCATATAAGAAATTTCAAAACTCTGGTAAGCAAGACCTGCCACTTTCTGATCAGGGAGGGGAAGAAAGAGACCGAAAACGTTGGTGAAAAGGAAATTGAGAGATGGGAGCCTCTGACCTTGTCTACAACTATCTTCATATCTTTCGCCATCAACATACATGCCTCTGAGAGTTTAGTACAACTTGGAGGAATTACATTTTGGACTATAGTTTCCAAAATCCACCAGCAGTATGGGGCTATAGGCAACACTTCTCATTCTTTGCTAACTTAAGTTAAAAAATAAAATAAAATAAACATCTAAGAATTTTTATTTTGTTTTGCTTTTTGATCCATAACTCTGCATAATCCCATTTCTCTTTTTTTGTGATGTGCAGATTTTTTTATTCCCAATACAAAAAGCACTTTTATTTGTCACATAACTAATAACTTTTAATAGCCTTTAAGAAAAGAAAAGAATCTAGGCATTGTAAGTGAAGATGTTTCACAGATAATCCTGAATTCATGAATAACTGTATTTATCTTCTGTAATTTAATTTCCTGTAGAAAATAATAAAAAAGTATACTAGGCAGTATTTTAATGATGATATTGCTTTTGAATAGATGTCAGAGAGACTGCCCTTACCAAAAGATATCTGATATTGTAACTGCTAAGCATATATTAACCATGGAATAGTTGGTTCCAGTACAGTAACTCAAATACACAAACACTCTTTTGTATTTACGGTTCCCTAAAAAGCAGTGCACAATCATGAAAATTTTCATTAGCCTATGTACTATCTTTACAGGATTGGGATAAATGTACCAAGACTGCAAGAATATAATAATAAAATTGCCAAGCAACTTACTTTTTGTAACAACTCCTTCAAGGCGAATAATATTTGGGTGGTCAAACTGTCCCATGATACTTGCTTCTCGTAGGAAGTCCCGTCTCTGTCGGTCCACATATCCACCTTTTAAAGTTTTTATGGCTACTGGAATCTCCTTTTTTCCAGGGGTTTTCAGACGACCACTGCACACTTCTCCAAATTCACCTTAAGTTAAGAAATGTCTAATTAGATTGATATCTAGTTAAGAAATAGGTAGTTATATTATTGCACTGGAATTATATTATTTCACTGTAGCCACTTCAGTAACTACCACAGTCCTTCACCACTACAGATTCTGGCTGATGTAATCCTCTCACTTTACACAGCTCAAGAGGTCTCTATAGAAAGTACTTAACACTCAATTATAAAATAAGGACACATATGGACAAAGGCTTCTATCAATAACTTAAACTGTCACAACAGAGTAATGCAGGAAGAAAAGAGGCCAGGTCATAAATTATTACGGAAAGTGGTGATCAGAGATGGGTCCCAAGGAAGTCCATCCCCTTTCTTTTCAGGAAGTTTCTCAGACATTTGAGTTCTCATCAATGAGTTCTCATCATAATTAAGTCTAGCCTCGTTGGAAATGTCAACTTCAATCCCTTTCCAATGCAGGAAATCCACAGTCAGCGCATCCCAGATAGATAGTCACCCAGCTCTGTCTAAAAACCTCCAGAAATGAGAGTCCATCACTTTATGAGACAGTCATTAGTGTCACAATGTTGTATCTAATGCTTAGATGGAACATTGGTTAGTTTTTGCCTTGGGAACAGTAGAAAACCAGTGTTCTCCAATTTCTAGGTGACAACGTATCTGAAATTTGAAGACAGATCTCTTCTCCAAACTGAACATACTCAGCTTTCATAAGCATTGGTTGTTGTGGGTTTTTCGGGCTCTTTGGCCATGTTCTGAACATGGCCAAAGAGCCCGAAAAACACACAACAACCATTAGATTCCAGCTGCTAAAGCCTTCGCGAATACATTTCATAAGCATTCTTTGTATGGCTTCCAGATAGACTCTTTGGTACTTTGGCCCCCTTCTCTAGACAAATTCTACTTTGCCATTATTCCCCTTCAATTTTAGTGCCCAAAATTGATCAAGGTATTCAAGGTGAAATTTTACCAAAGCAGAGTGGAACTATTCCTTCCCCTGATCTATATCTTACACTTCTGTGATATAGCTTAGAATTGTGTTTTTGTTTCTTTTGCCAATGCAAGACTGTTGAATCATGCTTAACTTGTGTTATACTAAGACATCTAGATACTTCTCATATATATTCCTGCTAAGTCAGGTGTGACCTATTCTGAATTTTTGGTTCTGGTTTTTCCTGCCTGAATGTACAACTTCACATTTATCCCTGTTGAAATTCAATTTGTTTGTTTTGGCCCAATAAACAATCACAACTCTTACTCAAAGATAGTTAAGATACCATTTTTCAGTCCAGGCAATGGAAAGATTGAATGAAAACAATGTGCCCAAACTATCATTTGGATACCTGAGTGGAGATAAGTCTGTGTGGTCTAGTGGACAGAGTGACAGACCAGGACACAAGAGACCTGGGTTTGAATTGTTGGTTGATCGTGAAAACTCATTTAGAGAGTGTGTGGAAGTGGTAAATCTTAATATCTCTCATATTTATTTTATGTTCACTCTAAGTCTGCTCTGACTTGACAGCACATAACACACCACATGCTTGTGTGTAATAATTTTAACTCTGAGCCATTAAAAGAAATAGTCCTGGATCAAAACAACTCTCAGAATACTTAATCAAAAGTACAGATTAGTTTGGATTCTTTCAAACTACTCCCTCTTTCCAATTTGTTCTTAGGATCCTTGATTGAAAGGAAAACACAGATTTTAATGTCATATAGGCTTTTCTCAACATGTAATAAAAGTCAGGAAAACACTTTAAAGTGATGAAAGGATCTATCATGTTTCTAAGTGATGCAGCTGCATTCTACTCGGCAGAGATGAATGAAGTATCTTTATATAAATGAGAAAAGGCATATTGGAAAATCTGGATTCAGGCAGTAATTTACTGAAAAACAACTTGCAGTATGTAGAAAACAGGCACAATAATGGACTCACTTTTCTGACTCTAAGGTTGAAGAAATGTTTAATTAAAAGTCGCCCATGTATATAACAACTGTGTCCTCCACACAAGGCTGTGTGGCTCAGACTGATGTGAGTTGAAACTGTGGTCCCTTTTTGCCAAAAGGTCCAAGATTCAGAATCACTCACTCCAACCTTCCATACCTGTTAGTCCCTCTCTTAAAATTTATACTTTTTGTCAATTTTTGTTATGTCCCAGGCAGCCTTTCAGATGGAGGGGGGGGGGGAAGAAACTGAAAATAAGTTGCTAATAGCAACAGGAAGTCAGTTCTACTGGAGAGAACACTCCTAAGTCTGACGTAATAGCTGATATAAGGGTGGTTCTAATTAAACATACTCCCTTAGGCTTGTTCATGATAAGAGGATCTGGAAAGACCAGGGCTAGAAAAAAATGAACAAATAAACAAAAACCCAGCTCCAGGTGAGGGAATGGGAGAGAAGTGGAAGAGACAGATTTGTGTTTCAAGAAACCTCATGTGGATCTGTTAAACCAAACTGATGGTCCAGCAAACCACCTCTAAAACAGATATAACTAGCATATATGGATAAGTGCGGAGTTAGGGTTACTAAGACTCTGGTAATCTTCTGGTTATTAGAAAAAAATAGCTCAAGTAGTAATTGATTGCTCCCACTTCCATGTCATGCGCATCTATATGTCTTTCACATACCCTGTGTGCATGGCTGTTCTGACTATACTAAAAAAAGGCTAGGGCAGAATGTAAGGAGCACAGAATAACTCCTGGGACACGTGTGCTCTTTCTGTGGGGGAAAAATCATTTATTTCAGGCAGGGGAGTATGTGCCAGCATTTCGCTAAATCCTATTGTTAGGCCTACTCAGAGGGGGTCCATTAAATCAATGGGATTTGGTAATGTAAATCAACACTAATATAACTTGGGAAGTGTCATTCTTTGAATAGATCTGCTCTATCTGGAACTAGAAATTGGATTTAGCCTATAATGACAGTTTTCAAATAGTCCAGAATATCTTGCACACAATCTCTCAGAACTGTTACAGATTTTACATGGGAAACAAGCAGCACTGGCACAAGAAAATTTGATCCAAACAGCATATACACATCTGATTTCACCCACAGTCATCACTGATGCTCAATTACAGCATCATATTTTGTTGTGCCCTACAGAAAAATATGGAAGATTATCCTGGCATTTCTCAATGACTCATCATGATTTATTTTTCATTATGATTTTTTCCTGCTGCCATCTCTGCTTTAATCAGCCTTCCCCATTCATAAGAGCAAAAGTTTTTCCCATTATCAGCAACATATTTAGCTGATACAGCTATAAAAATACCACTCTATTAATTCCTGAGGTAACTAACATCTCTGGTGGCAGATATTTTAACCTGAAGTGCAATTACTAATTCCCTTTGCTAAAACTAAATTGTTTTTAAACACACAAATGAAAAAAAAACTTTACCACAGAAATAGGTATTATAGTGCATAAAGGGGACAAAAGATAAAATGCTTTGTTGATCCCTTAAGCAATAATTCCAATATGTCAGGCAAGCATTAATAAGGAACCAATTAGTGCCACTCAATTTGTATTTATTCTTAGAAATCATGGTTATCAAAAAGGAATTATGGTCAACACTAGAGTTTAGAAATTTTTTTTTTGGACTTATTCCTCATAACCCCCAACCCACATGGTCAGTTACTTCCACTTTACTTTTCTGCATATATTTATTTGGCCCAATTCTTGTTTACTCAGTTTAATGTCTCTCATATCTCTTCCCATTAAAGCAGGGGTCTCCAAACTGCAGTCCACGGCCCGCCTTGCCATTTTATCTGGCCCCTTCCCTTCAGGCCGTGGGGTTGCGTGTGCATGCTTATGTGCGGGCATCTCTGCATCTGTGTGTATGCACGTGTGCACATTCCTTCAGCCCTAAAAACTATGGAAAATATACGATGTGGCCCTCACGCTCAAAAGTTTGGAGACCCCTGCATTAAAGCAAAGCAAAGCAAATATTATTTTGATGTTTATTATATTATATGCAGATGAAAATTATTGTATTTTTCCCAAAACAAGACATTTGGAGCAATAATGCTTTGTGTGCATGTATGTATGCGCTGATTTTAACACAGTAGGAAAAGAGGGAGACATAACATGAGATAGACTGATACAATGAAGGAGATAGTTAATAAAATAGAAATTAGCTGCATAAACAAGTTTCAGTGCTTCTCTAAAGGCTCAAACAGAGATCAAAGCTTCTCAGTGTGTTACATATATTGCTAATGCAGATTTCTGCAAATTTTCTGAATTTAGCTCGCAGTGCTGGCAAGTCTTGCTATTATTGAAGTCTTTGAATAATATTTTGCTTGCATGGGAAATTAATGTGATGGTCCTATTATTACTCTTTGACATCTCCCTTTGTAAGAACTGGAATGTATATTAAAGTAAATGATTTATAAATTGCTCTAGAGCAGCCACTCTCAACCCTTTTTTTGGTTGTTGTAAACACAATGTGAAAGAAATTATACAAATCTGGATTGTGTAAGTCACATAACAAACCTTATAAGGTAGTGTGTGAAGAATTGTTTCCAGTCTGTGGTCCCATTAAAATGTGCCAGGGGCCCCCAGGGGACTGTATGGTCCCTGGTGAGAATGGCTGCTCTAGAGTGTTCTACAAAGCTTAGGTGTTGGTTTAATGAATCAATTTCCCTACATAATTGTAATTATATTAAATTGTATGTTACTTGATATACCAGGAACTAAATTAGTAATTGAATTTAGACCTATATGCTACTTCTTGATGTAAGACATTGGAAGTTCCACTACAACATATTTGAATATGGGATTATAAAATTATAAAGTATAGCATTACTAAGCTTAATAGCAATTGGATAAGACACTTGTTTCTATAGTAGGTTTGTGAAAAGAAAAATATTAGAGGAAATATCTGCTATAGTATTTTCTGTGGGGAAGCCTTTCTGCAGGTTTCTCTCATACAAAACTGAAAGAATGCCAGCAGTAGCTACAATTTATAGCATTAACATCACGTATACCCTTAAAATTTCCCAATTATACTCTGCTCACAGATTTAAAAAGGTCATTTCTCCCCTATAGAAACTGTACATTATTTTGGTTGTGACTTTTCTTCTGTACAGAAGAATTTTAGTCCAGACACAGAGTATATCAGAGTGCAAAACATATATTGCTCTGATCATAAGGTACCATAAATTATTAAATAACAAATATCTGAACAAATAATGCTCTGACAAATCCAAAGGAAAGAAGAACTATTTTTCCATTCTTGTCTATCCTACTACATAATTCAAACTCAGCTCCATGAATAGTGCAAAAGGTATAAATGGAAATGTAATATGGGCTATAGAGCTTTTACTTTATGTTCACAGACTAATCTTTCAGCAACTATTTTAGTAGATGTTTATTAGTTTATACTTTCATAGATCAAATTATGCTGTTGTTGATGGAATTAATTTCATCTGAAACATATATGACCCATGACTGTCCATGTAGTCAGGAAACAGAAGGATGGAATGTAGAATAGTTCAGCCATACTAGATCCCTCTTCCTAGAGTACTAGTAATATTCTTCAACCTATGAGAAAGTGCCCCTCCCTCATCCCCAAATTTCAAAGAGTTCATAGTTCTCTTTCTATTAATGACAGTGATAACAAAACTGTGCCACAAAGAAATGTAAAGAAGACCCTTCAGAGGAATAGCAGGGATAAGTGTAAGTAAACGAACACAACATACAGACACAAACACACATAGAAACAGGCCATAAGAAAAAAAAATTGCTTTTGTATAAACCCTGTTCAGGTTTTGAATCAGAACAAATGATTTATTTTAAGTTTATACAGGTGTCATTGGGGCCTTGGTCTGCCTTTATAACAATCAATTAGCATTATGTTAAATAAACCCAATATGAATAAGGTGGATTTAATATATCTCAGTCAAAAACTGGGAGATAAATCCTCTTACAAATATTCAATCTCCAATGAAATTTCTTTTAGAACAAGTAAGCTGGCTAAGGACTGATCCTTAGTTTCTTGAGTACTCACACAGGGACACTTGTATTTTGTACACTCAGAGTCAACTTTTCCAAATTAAGAAACTGGAAGAAGTGGGATAGTGTGACTGTTCAACAGAAAGAGAATTTTTACAGAGGGTGGACAAGAAAGATTCTTGAGTTCTGTCATCCTTAGACAGCAACAGATGCTAACCAGGCTTGGCCAGTTTCAGTATTGGAGGTGGAGGAGCTCAGAGACACATTTGTTTGCTTAAACATTTACCCACTACTTGGTCCATGAGGCCATAAACATGTGGGTGAAAACCGGAGTAATTTTAGCTGCTAGGATGCATCAGGCTTCAGTATTACGTTTCTGTACAACTTTTGATGGTCCTGATTTCTGTGTTTAAAATAGTACTTATATTTGCCAAAAAAGTGTTATTCATGTTTACCTGCCCCAATAACTCTCTCAATACGAATTCGTGATGGATCTATTTCCTTAGCAAATTCATGAACAGCAAGTGATGGGTCTTCGTATGTGTCTGGATCAATATATGTTTTAGTTCCTGGGAAATGCACTGTAAAAACAGAAATACAGTTTTTGCTTTAGCTAACAATTATTCAGGCAACATAAACACACATATACAGAAATAAAATGAAATAAAATAAAAGGAAACATTAGGTGTTGGTATTACTTTGATTATAATGTGAAATCTGTGCCTGATTCTGCTGCTCTGAATGAATTCAAACATATTTACTCATTCTTTTCCAAATAATGTTCACAGCACTTTCTTCTAGGAATTACAATTTGGATTGGTTCAACAGAATCCTAATATAACAGTGAGGAAAATGGTTGACATCTTCCTCCATGTTCTTTAGCATGAGAGCAGACAAGCTAACTATGGGTCTTGGTGGGGAAAATCTTTGGGAAGCTCTCTCTCTCTCTCTCTCTCAGTCCCAAAATGAAAGGGTGAAAATCTTCACTTAATTTGTTATCTCAGACAATAACAAAAAATTCAAAGGTTTTTCCCACCAGCTAGGCAAGATGATGACAATCTCTGTGCTTTTTTTCTCTTTTTGTATCTAGGATTTTTTTTTCTGGGAAAAACCTGTATTTCACACAAAAATACAAGATTTTGAAAGCAAAATAAATGTTCTCACATCTCAAAAGCCATGGCTTTTTGTTGTTGTTGCAAGTACTGTTGCTGACAAAAAAAGCTCTGATATTTTTGGTTGTTCTGGGTTTTTTGGGCTCTTTGGCCATGTTCTGAAGGTTGTTCTTCCTGACATTTCGCCAGTCTCTGTGGCCGGCATCTTCAGAGTACAACCTGCGTGCCGGCCACAGAGACTGGTGAAACGTCAGGAAGAACAACCTTCAGAACATGGCCAAAGAGCCCGAAAAACCCAGAACAACCATTAGATCCCGGCCGTGAAAGCCTTCACAAATATATCTGATATTTTTGCTCTTGTTTAGGAGCAAGAAACCTCACAGTGACTACCCACCCCCCCTTTCTTCTGATAGCTCTATGTGTCTTTTCCATGGAGGAGAGGGAAATTGTGAATAACTTAAAGCCACAATAGAGACACTAGAGTGTAAAAACTATACTGCCTTCCATGCAGTCTGACAGCTAAATACCGTATACCCAACTGCTTATTCTTTTCATGCTGCTTTTTAAAGCCAGGTTATCCTTGGGGTAAGATGTCAGATGTCGAGCAGCAGATGGGCATGATGGTTTCCAAGCTAGTTTGTGACAGCAGTCTGGAATGGGTTGAGGCACCTTCCAGCAAAGACCAACAGGAACTGAGTAATGACATTACTGTTTTCACTGAAGGAGTCATTTGTATATACAGGTACTCCTACAAGTACTCCTACCTTGTTTCCAACCTGTGCTATCACATTGTCCTACAGACTGGCAAGGGGCTATCACATTTCCGATTAGGTAGAATGATAAATTGATTCATGTGTGGATTCTCAGTTCAGGCCACACTGACATTGTAAGATGTAAGTGTTTTAATTTTTTTTCTATTTTTGTTTTTGTTTTGTGGAAGGAATTACTCATGTTTCAATGAAAAAAGAAATCCCAAGCAAAAGGATGAGCATTATATAATATGATTACAGCAGGCTGGAAAGTTCAGAGAGAGGCACATAATGAAGAACAGGTGGAAACTCATAAAGAATCCTCAAAGCTGATGACAAATGTTCATTTTGAAGCACACAAAAGTTATTGGAACTGGGGGTTTTCCCCTGAGAGAAAACACTGGAAAGAATGGCTCCCGATGCTGTTTTATATATATATCAAACTCCAGAGAGTTTATATTTAAATAATAATAACAATAATAGGTGACGGAGCTGGGCTTCCAGCGTGAAGCTCCAGTTTATTATTAACAAGGCTTTTGGAGAAGGGGACAGGCTTTATTATATGGGATTGGGTATTTTTAAGCAAAGCAAAGCAAAGCGTGCTGCTTATATACCGCCCCATAGCGCTTCAAGCACTCTCTGGGCAGTTTACAATTTAATTATGCAGGCTATACATTGCCCCCCGAGTGAGCTGGGTACTCATTTTACCGACCTTGGAAGGATAGAAGGCTGAGTCAACCTTGAGCTGGCTACCTGGGATTTGAACCCCAGGTTGTGAGCACAGTTTTAGCTGCAGTACAGCGATTTAACCACTGAGCTTTATAGACGGTACAGTAGAAGCTACTGGGGTTCCCCCCTGTACTCCCACCCTTCCAGCACCCCCATTTTTGGTGACACAACTGCTTTGGGTAGCAAGGGGAGTGGTGAGAACAAAGGTGGCTGTTACATATATATATATATGTAGGCATCCTTCAGTCTTGAGAGACTATGGTAACATGCTCTGTGTGGAGGACTTGGAACAGCATC